CCACAAAAAAGAAAACAATATCCGTAAAATTGTCCGTCTATTTATGTTTTAACAGCTTCTGCCGCGAAAACATCACACGTTGGGTGACTCAAAATTTGGCCAAGCGGAGGTCTGCGTCTGGTCACTGACAAAAAAAAAAATAATAAACCCTGGGTATGAGAAATATGTTTGAGTGAGAAGAGTCAATGTTTATTATGGGTCTATACCTTATCATTTCTACTGACAGCCTTCCCCCCCACTCCCAGGAAGGGAGCAGCAACAACAAGTGTATATATTTTAAGCATGCCATCTTATAAATCTCCAAGCTGGAAGGATCAATATAATAGCCCTCTGTCTCTTCTCTTTGAACCTGTCACTGTGCTTGACAATGGCTGTGATGGTCTCAGGCTATTACATGGATAAATTTTAAAAAATAAGTGACTCTCAAGAGTTCCATTGACTGTGATTAGTGCAAAAACATTGCATGAATGGAAAGTCATACATTGTACATTAAGGAACTCAGATTAATATTAAGCATGTGCTTGTTGGCAGCTAAGCATGTGCAATTCAACCGGAAGTCTGATAGTGTCAGACTTCTACTTGGCACTCCTGAGGGTCATTCACTTCCCGACTACTGGTCAACAGAGGTGAAGACTCTGGGTATGATGTACGTAATACACGTATAGTTTATTTTAATTTTGTCATGACCATAAAACTGAAGTTTTCTTCAATCATTTTCAGACTGACTTTGATGCCGATTTGACTGTAAAGGGTTCGTTTCCATCCTTCTTCATCTTGTATCAATTGATGTATAAATCGCGCATTATACTTGAAGATACAGACTACAGCACCTTCAGTGGCTACCTTCCTGACTGGTTGTATTATTGGAGCGCTCTCAGTACTAAACCACCCCTCCCTGGCTTTTACAACTTGCCTGCAGGAAGGACAAAGAAAACATGGGGTATGAATAGAGGTGTTACTCACTAGGGGTGGGGAGGGAGATGGTGTGGTTTGAAGAGATCTGTTTTGGCCTAACTCTACAGTAGCTTTACTGAAACGTTAAGTTTCGGTAAAGCAATCGTCCTGCACAGTTACTGATTAATATTCAAATTTTCCTTTTCAGCCTATGATAGAGTCAACAGCACAATTGTGTAAATCTACAGACTCATCTGTGCATTTAGTCTCAGATCTGTGGTTCATGAGATTGTTACCAGTAGTGAATATTGGAACCCATGTTAATCTTATATTTCTTGGAAGTAAAGAGTTTACTGCTACAAGACATACATGACTTGAATGTATAAATGTGAATAGAAATTTATAAAGTAATGGAGCTGGCAAACTTCCAAGCAACCCAGCAAAATGGGCATGGTACCATGCCATCCAATCTGAAGTGAGCCAAGATTGCAATTTACCAAATCTACTGAGCTTAAACATTGCATCGCATTAGCATTCTGTTCTTCAAGAAATTATCTTTATCCTCTCAACTGAAAGCTTAATTCAATGCCCACTTTTCTATTGTTTATCTTTGTACATACTTAGACAACAATCATATTTTTTAACATCTTGCCAAAGGTCTTACAGAGGAAGATTTGACTAATTACCAAATCAAATGTAACAAGTCTGGAGCTGCAGTAAGACTGGAGCGATACTACACTTGGACAGATGGCCTGGAAGCTGCTCTGTGTAAACACAAGAGCAGACAGCGATTCCATGAAGTGGCTTTGAAACGATGCATGCGAAGTCAGAAACAAATACATAAGACCTTTCCAAAGGCCTCACGATCTCAGCGGAAAAGAGCCTTCAATAAATTCCAAAATGAGCATCGCAGCCTGAGGAATATTCTTTCAAAGCAAAAGGATGGTGTGAGCGAGTTTCTAAGTTATCAATCCCCTCATAAGATTGGACAGGATTACATTGAAGGTTAGTTATCACAAGTATTCGACAAAAATTATTTTTTTTCCATATTTACTCACGAGAAGGCTGTAGTGTCACTCTCCCAAGTCATGTATTACATTTTGATTGGTGTTTATTTAAGGGCAGCCCTTTCTAAAACATCGTTAAGTAAGTTTTTTAAATAATACAATTACATTTAAAATGACAACTCTTTTTTCATCCAAGATTGATAAAAAGTGTGGTCTGTGCTTGAGCTCAGTGACCTAATCTCTGTTTTTTTTTATACCATGAAGCAAGTAGAAGTATTTTTACCCCCCACCTCCACCCCACCCCGATGGGATACTAGTCCATCGCAGGTTGACCCCCCAGCTTTAAATTCCCAGTACCCATTTATAGATGTACCGGTACACACATACACTTGGGTGTAGAGAGGTACTGTGAGGACACAAAGCAATGAACCTGGCCAGGGCTGAAACCCAGACCACTTGGCCACCATTAGACTTGCCACAAGTTGACTTCATGAATTTCAGGGTAGAATATGTAAGGCCGCAAAGCGGGGTAGAAGATGTTAGGCTGCAAAGCGGCCGTTTTTAAGGTCGTGAAGCAGCCAAGCGAGGGGTCCGGCGGGTACTGAATAAACAAGACGATGGACTTTTCAGAAAGTCTACCTTTGATAGACTAGCACCCTTCCAGGGTGGAGTAAGCAATACTCCTAGTTGTTTCATGCAACTGAAACTTGGAGGTCGTCAGCCTCAGAGAGCTGACTTCATGGTTAACGTGAATTTAAAGTCTTGATATTGAGACAATGTGTTGTGGTAACACAAAGCAAAAGTGATTGCGCATCTCTTTTCACTTACATGTACCAAGGTTGCAAAGGTTCTAACACAGAAAAGCTGGTCTTTTTTCTAGGTTATCTTCACAAGAGTGGTATTAAACAATTAGAAAGTTACATTGAGTTTGCCAAACGACTTGAACAAGAAGTAGACATAGCCGAGCTTTCAAAAGACATTCCTGAATGTGTTCTCCTCGTTTATGACAAGCTGTCCACAGCAGCGCACCAAAGATTTATTTCTGCAGAGGAATTCCTAGATGTTGCTAAAGATTACTTTGAACGGGTCAAGAGGGTCTGGAATTGGCAGAATGAAAATGGAGCTGATGCCAGGCAGGCTTTTCGAGATTGTCCAGTTGTGAAAGCTCATCCATCCTACAGGTGAGTTGAAGGTTTTATAGTCCTTAACAAACAATTATTAGATTCGGTTTTTGTGATATCCAGAATAATCAATGTCGAGGTATGGGTTATCAGCCAAAGCCAAAGGCTAAGGCTGATAACCCTTACCGAGTCTGGATATCACAAAAACCGAATCTAATAATTGCTTTATAATTATACATTGAACGAAAAAGACAATGGTCACGACAATCGGAGCAACTTCAGAATACCCGGTCACTTTATTTACATGTGCCGGTGGGCTTTGAAGAACGAGGTATACAACAATAGTTGCTATTCTTATTCAATGAGATGCTAATAAGTGGCCGGGTATTCTGGAGTTTAGCCC